GTGCAGTATTTTTCGTCATTACTGATATGTAAATTAAGCTACCATTTTCTTTGATGAAAGACATTTTGCAGTGAGGTCATTAACATGTATCCACATTTTGACATTGACTTCATAACTTGAAAGAATTTGGGACAAACTTTTCTACCAAATTACTTGCTAATACGTTTGCTACATTTAAATTGGTGAAGCTGGGTTTTTTTCTCCACAAAATAACATTTTAAAATGATTTGAAGGTATAGTCCATCATTTGTAATTTGTGCATTTTGTTCGTTTGAAGCAACAAACGTGCTCAAAATCTAAAGAAGGGTGCTGAACAACTAACCTGATGAAGTTTTAGCTCACCTTTCAGCATTCTAGGATCTCGATTTCAAATCAAAAGTTACTGAATCATGTTTTGAATTGGGCCTGAATTCAGCATCCGAGACACGTCCTCACTGAGCCGATTGCAGCTACGCAATGTCGCGCACCGATCCGACGAATTATAGCAACCGCAAGTGCGTGTGCATCGTGCCAATACTTGACTACTAACAAACATGTCTAACGGTGCGTCTTCAGACGCACCGTTTGAAAGGCCTTCTTTCGTTGATTTCTTCAAAATGACAGCTTGCCAGAAAGAATAATTTCACAGGGAGTTTAGTCCCCTTACTGTCTTTCAACCAAGTATGTTTATCAACAATGATTACGTCAGTTATTTTTTGGATAGCTGCAAATGATGGACTGTAGCTTTAAGGGGTAACATGCACAAATCCTTCAATTGTGTAGAAATGACAAGGAAGTGCAGTTTACGAATTTAAAAAGTGACTAATGGCCCTTTCTCCTCAGCGATGATCTATTTTCTAAGGTTAGAATTTGCAAACATCCATTCAAAAAAGAAAATCACATGAAACTTTCCTCACAGAGAAAAGTCTGTATCTTGGCGCTAAGTATTTGATATCAAATAAAACCAAAACAAATATCAATTTTTTTAAACATGGCAGGTTTTGATCAGATAATTTCGAGTTAAGATATAACTTATCTGACAGTCCGACGTGTTTGTGGAAAAGAATTTCATTTTGTTTACACCGGCAGGCATTTATTGCTTAAAAATAAATTGCAGATATGAAAAGTGAAAAATAATTTCAAACTTTATAAAAATAATTTCATTATCTTTTGGGATCACAAATTTTCAAGACAAAACACAGATGGCAGAACCAGATACATAGAAGGTGGTTGATACAAGTTGTGTGATTTTCCTCAAATATTGAATCAGGTTTTTTTCTTTGAAGGATTCGTTGTGCTTACTCTATTACTGTGTGAATTCACGATTTAACATGTTTAACTAAGAAAAAAGGCTAAATGTTTCATTCTTTCCATTGTTACAAAAAATGTCAATGAATAAACCGAAACAAAAAAGAGCAACATTAAACATATACAACTATCTTCTGTATATTGTACAAAATGTTGCGAAAGATCTATAAAGTCACTATTAAAGTCACTAAAGTTCACTCATTATATCACCTCAAATTAAAACGTATTGCATGAGCCATAAGATTTAGCTCCCAATAGTTAGTGCCCCACTCTTAATACGAACGACATCCCTTCAACATAAATATCTGATATCAAGATTAATAAACCTTCACAAAATATTTCATTTTATTTATATTTAATTGTTTTCACATTTGTACAAGGTGGCATAAAAGAATACATCTTGTTTTTGTTATGAAATGATATTTTCTAACTGCTCCAAAATTATTATTATTTTTTTTTTGGCATTTTTCAATTAATTTTTATTGTTTTTATACAGTGGCAAAGTTGTTATTTTGGGAAGAGGGTTACATATAATGAACACATATTATTGATGAAACAATGATCATTAGAACAATTTCTATTCTCAAAGTTATGAATCAGTCTAAGGAAGGAAACCAACTTGACAAATTTCAAACAGGCTCTCTGTTTGAAACCTAAACTATAACATTTCCTGAAATCTTAACGACATTGGCGTAGTTACCAAGTTGAATGAATGTTCATGTTAGGTTTTCCCTTCATGACTGTAATGTATTTTCCGAGATGTAGTGAGAAAAACTGTCACAAACTTACTTGGGTAAGTCCACAACCTCTGTTGACATGAACAAATGCCTTATCACTCGACCAATAACCATGCAGTGGTTAGCTGGCCACTTTGAATCTGATGTGGGCTCCGTGCACATGTACCCCCTCAACGGTAAGAAAGGGAGAGTTGGGGGAGACCACTAGGAGAGACAATCGAACGCATTGCTGATGACGTCTGACGCTCCAGAGAAGACACCTTGGGTTTGTGCACATTAAGAATAAAATTAGTTGTGCTTTCTTCCCGCTATACGTGCGCAAACCAGTATCATCTGATACACCGTGCCCTCTGGAGACATGCACACAATAGGGAACAAAAGATTGTAAACGTCTCCACAGGGCAATTTCTATAGATGAATACGTATCAACAAGGTTTTCACGAAATAGACATATGGATTTTACTCAAAAACTAGGAATTTCCAAGGTATGTTGATCTGTTGCAAATGGTAGAGTTTAATTTTAATAGAAAAGGGATATTAAGTCCGAATTTCAGCCAAGGAAATTAATTCTGGTTAAAATAAGAGCATTTTGAAACTGTACTGTTAAACTCAAAAACTTTAGTACACGAGAACAAAGAAATTTCTCCACAAGGATACAAATTTCAGCATGTGTGTGAACGCAGTGTGTCTAATCCAAGGTTCTCTCCAAAGTGGTCAAGAGGCGCCCTCTTTGTTCGCGCACGGAGCCGATAGCCAATGTTACCTTTGCTCACAAATTTGAGTGTGGTCACGCGATGCCAACTTTCAGCATTCTGTTCTCTTCTAAACTGTATGTTTATCTCCTGAAATGTGATTGGTGTGAAAGTGGTGACATAAACTGTTTAGTGCGGGCAAGATAACATGCAAAAGATGCTTAAATGTATGGGCTCCCATCAGCTGCTTGTTGGTATGTCGTCACAGGTAGCATGGTCTACGGGCAGGTGTAACTTTGATTGATGGGAATTGTCTTTTTTTGTTTTGTCTTGTTTTGGCTGGTTCCAGTGAGGGCTAGTTGATAGTCCTCTTTGTACCTGACTGACTGTCACTTATACGAATAAGACAGGTTACCTGAATCTCACTGACTGACTGCTATTTAGGACTAACACTGGTCTGGGAGCAGCCTCACAAGGCTTGCCTATTCATGTATGTCCTGTAGCATCTGCACCCCATGTGCATTAGTCTAGTGCCGCTTGTTTCATGTACTTCTGATACATGTGTATGCAATAAGGCAAGTGTCCATGCGAACGACAAAGGTTTTCATTTCCATCACGTTACCACTACAGCTTATTCTTGAACTTTATAGCTGAAATAACCATTTTTGAATCATTTGAACAGAAGTTTGTGCACTCTGGGACCAGCTTTACAAGGCCTGCCTTGTTTTGTTTCACAGGGGTTCGATTAATTTTCTCTTCACCTAAAACGGAACAAACTTTATAAGTTGTTATCAGTAATAGTCAAGACATCTCTTATTAGTTTGGCAAAAACTGTTTGCTTTGCTCATTTCTATTTCAAACAATTTGAATACATGCAGGATTGCCCCTGATTCAATGCTGTTGAAACGGATGAATAAAGATGAGTAGACAATAGAGGGCAGTGTTCAATGAAATTTTGGGGATCACAAAGAATTTAGGATTCTTTGGTACCAATCTGACATGTCTGAGTGATTGAGAGAGTGTGGGGAACTGTGGCTTATGCGCGCATGTCAGTGATGTAGTGCCTTGATGCTGGGCCTTGGCCTTAAGGCTGCCTTAAGGCTGGATTTTAGGGCCTTGGCCTTGGCCTCGAGGCTTGAGGGCAAAAGCCTTGGCCTTGGCCTTGGCCTTGAGGGTTCAGGGCCTTGCAATTTTGAGTCAAGGCTCTTCAAGGCCCATAGGTTTTTGCATTTTCCAGATAAATCTGTTCGAAATTTTGCTGTTACCATTTTAATCGTATTACCATGGAGGAGGGAAGCACCCTATAGATTTGTGTGTTGGGCACACTTCCACTTTTGTAGCATCACATTTTGTTACCATTGTAGTAGATTTGCTGCAAAAATATTCCGTACACTTGTGGGGCTAATGAGATGATCACTTTAATTGCATATAACTATGGAATAGATCTGATAGGTTGTATATGTCTCCCTGATAAGTGCTAAAGATTTGCATGTATCTGTTTTAGATAATGCTGATATTTCTGACCATGTTGGGCCAGCAAATAAAAATTTCCCAAATCAGTTTCTTGGATCCCCCTTTTGTTACACTTGGGAGAATTGTGTGTCAATATAGAAGTAAATCATTATTTTGTTTAGTTAAACCATATTGAAGACCTGAACTTATACTTTAATAGATACAGTGCAGTCATAAAACGGTGTAGGCCTATGCGAGCATGTTGATTGCAATTAAAGAAATGTTGTTCTTCGTAACAAGCAATTCGTGATGATAAGGGCGGATCCAGGGGGCCAAAAGGGGCCATGCCCCCCCCCCCAAAAAAAACCGAAACCATTTTTTTTTATGTGAAGGCAGGCAATGAGTACACCACCATCTTTTCTTCAAAAAACATCGGTTAAAATGGTCAGAAATTGCCTCAAATCGCACCACAGAGCATCTCGAATCCAAACATTTTTCGGGGCCCTTAAGCGGGCCCCGAAGCTCGAGCCGTAATTTTTTGACCCACTTTTTTTGGGGGGACCAAAATTTCTTTGCCCCCCCCCCCAAATTGTGTTCTGGATCCGCCCTTGCGTGATGATGTGTCACTCATGTGACTATAATTAGTTCTATATCAGTGGTCATTTCATAAAACAGGGCCTTGGCCTTGGCCTTGGCCTTGAGGGTTAAGCCTTGGCCTTGGCCTCGAGGCTTGATGGTCAAAGCCTTGGCCTTGGCCTTGGCCTTGAGGGTCAAAGCCTTGGCCTTGGCCTTGGCCTTGAGGGTCAAAGCCTTTGCTCCAACACTGGCGCATGTGCAAATTCTAAGTACTAAGAATTTTAGTAAAGGTTTGCAGTAACACCATGTGGATATCTCTTTTGGGAAGGTGTCTGGTTCTGAAAAGAACTGCTTGGTTGTAAAACTTGACGTTCTAACCAATTCTTACCATCCCAAAAGAGATATACACTTGGCGTTTTCGCAAACCTTCACTTTTTATTCTACCACCATGCAAAGTTTGAAAAAATTTACTAAGGATTTTGTCCTTAATACAGGGTTAGCGCACAAATTCTATGCTCGCGCTGTAAGCACAAACTGGCAATCAAAAGTGTATAGGGAGTTCAGAGGTTAGCAGTGCCACAAAATTGGGCCATGGACTTTTTTGTTCTGTGTCAAGAACGTAAGCAGGGGCTTCAGCTTCTTTGAGTTGTGAAAATGCAAATTTGCAGAGCATGCAGGAGAGTTTTGCTTTAACTAAAACAGGTTACTGGTGAAATTGTAAAGTGAGATGGAGTGGGTCATTGCTATCCCATGATGCACTGTAGCTTACTCCAATCTACTGTAGAACACTCCATGGGGCAGGCAAGGCAACGAGTTGTAGGGTCTTTATGAGGAGCATGCCTTGTCGTGATTTGAACTCTGCGTGTGGGTCAGGTGTCTTGAGTTGCATGGATATGCTGTTAGTTTGGCTTGCAGATGAACTTGGCTCTCAACTGTAAAAAAAAAAAAAAAAAAAAAGATCACAAAGTAAACATGACATCAAATTGTTAAAAATTCAATCACAAAAAATTGTTTGGGTCACACGACCGGTACATATGATTGCTGTGTTGTGAGTACGACTTAAAAAAACTGAATATGTTTTTTATGCAAAATATTATAGCAAAAGCTAAACACATTTCAAATTGTTACTGCACAGAGTTTGTGATGCCTGATGGAATCAGGCATACATGTACAGTGATGTCCACATAGTTACAATGGTTCAATTGGTTGTTGACTACAGGAAGACATATGTACCGGTAGCAATGGTTAGTCATAAGTAGCTTAAAGGGGAATGTACAACATTTGCTTTTGCTGCAATTTTCAGAAATAAATGCATTTGAAGGATTAGAATGTTATAGCAATTATTGTTAAACTGAATTGTTTCACGTTTTGGGCTTGTAGATGCTGGAAAACCAAGAAAACCAATCATGTTCTTGTAGTCTGGTTCCCTGAGCTCACTTAAGATGAACGGAGCAATTTGTAGACTTTGGGGAATTGTAAGGTCAGAGAATCAGTCTGGCAGGCTTGTACCTCTTCACAGGTGTGTAATCGATTGCAAAGAAAATGCGAACTAACTAAATATGCAAAATTAGGAGCAGTTTTTGAAAATAAGCCAGTTTTTTCCAACGCTGGTCGGCCGACCAGTGTTGGAAAAATACAATTTTTCTTGAAAATGTCAGTACACCAGGAGCCAAATTTTACAGGATGCTTTAGACTGTCATTCCCTACAATCCAGGAAGGTATTTCGTGATAATTTGATCATTTCGTTTTTTGACGTTTGCAAATGTTTTATCTTCCCTTAGACTATGGCATATCAAAAAAAAATGTTGTGTTTGCATGTCCCGTCAGGCCTGTTTGCTCCATTTGTCTTAAGTTATCGTTGGGGGAAGCACACAAATGATGTAACGAGGAGTTCTCTTTCAGTGGTTTTTGTCCCTAGTGCTGCATATACGTCATAATAACAATCGGTCATCAGTAATCTCATACTATTGGCCTCCTACACAATTTAAAGTTTTCACATAAATACAGTTCAGAAATCAACAACCTCTAACAACAAATGTCTCAACTATGAGGCACATAGTTACCTTGGCCTTTCACATTTTTATGAGATCTTGATATCTGTCTGCATGCTACTCCGAACCTTGGCCATAATCTGGTCTAGCTCCTTCTCAAAATCATCCGGCGATGACGACAATGCTGGAAGGAGACAAGGGCACAGAGATAAAAGATGCAGATAAGATGCGCTGACGGAAGAAAGAAGAACCTTCAGCACTAATTCAATAAAGTCCTACAGGCCTACAAGGCTAATTCTCAATAGATTGATGCGATTAAAAAGTCACGCCGTAAGAAGCAGAGAAGATTGGCCCTTGTAGGCTGCTAGGGAAGGATTTACTTGATGCCAAACTGTGTGGATGGATTGTGTCTATTTGAACTGCTGGGAACCAGTTAAAATCAGGTACTCTTCAAAGTATCACATACAGAATACCATTATCATCAATTTTAATTTGGATTGTTGCATTGAAGAGTTATGCTAGAAATTGTAGCCGTACATGTAGGTTAAATTGTAAAATTGTGCAAATTGGCCAAACTGCAGCCACATTCCTGGTGTATGGGTCCATGCTTTGTGACGGCATGGGATGAGAAATATAACCAGAAACATATTGAACTTTGGTCATTTGTTGTGTGTTTTTACCAGTTTGGTTGTGCCTGAATTACATCATTATTTTGACCCAATGAGGACTGAAATTTAGGGGCCGGTTCATCACAGATTCAAGATGGCTGATTTAGGTAAACAGTCATCTCAACAAATCAAGGAATCGTGTTTTCTTGAACGCTGTATATGGCAATCAAAGCACATTTGGTAGCTCTATGGTCTGTTCAAGGATGAGTGGTAGTGGTGAGAAATGTGCGAGATCTATTTTATTGGATAAAAACGATGTTTGATGTGGCAGGATTGAACACAGTGTCGTCTGCTCCAAATAAAGTGCCTTACAATTTTCCCCAACTTTCTTACTTTGAGATATTTTTTACCCCAAATGGAAAGATTTTACAACCCGGCCATGGATGGTCAGCAGAAGAATCATCTTCCTCTTGCTGTACATGCCATGTTTGAAAACACAGCAGCGCGAACAAATTCCGGTTAAGCGTTTTTTTTTCACGCACGCATGAACATGTTCTTGGTCATCACTTTGATGACATAAATTTGTTTCTGGTTTTTTTTTGTAAAGACTTTTTCGGTGGTTTCCTGTAAAGGGGGGGGGGGGGGATTGTAGATGATTCAAGAAAATTTCTAGCAAAATTCCTACAGAGCTGGGTGTACTTAATTTGCAGATTGTAATGCTGAAACGAAATGTTTGAAATGGAAGACCCTGACAATGAGCCGATTATACCTACCTTCCTTTTGACAATTTGCTCCCTCCACCCCTTCTCTCTCAGTCTTGCTCCCTGTCTCCACAGTGCCATTAACAAGGCTGACTGAGTCACCACTACCACTCCCTTCAATACTGACTATTGGCGGGTCTCTGCTAGAACCCATATCGTCCTTTGTTTCAACCTGACCCGTGAGATCCAATGTTGTTTCGGACGCTAGAGTTGCTGTTTGCGACGGAGATTCTGTTGTTGCTTCTACGGGGAATTGGGACGGAGTTGCATTCTCATTCACCAAGTCCGTGTCAGGGATTGAGGGCGGTATATCACTAGTCACGGAATTCTCCAATGGCATAAAACTGTCAAACTGTCCGTACCCCATGACCAAAGTGCTCTGTGATAGGATTGTCGGTGATGCCGCGGCCATAGCAGCTTGCATCGGGTGCGCCAGCAACTGGATATTATTTGCCAACGGAACGCCTGTGGGGGAGTCTAATTCATCCTTGTAGTCTCTTCTCAAGGCTGACTTGGCGCCTCTGCGCGAGTCTTGCATAGGCTCCTGCCCCACGCTGTTATCGCTGCTCCTGGAAGACGTTTCTGCTATGCTGCCGTTCCCGTCAAAGCTGACCAAGTTCAGAGGGTCGTTGTTGGCAGTACTGGCCTCGGTCTCCACAGGCAGCGAGGAAGGGTCTGCCACATACTTGACGTTTAAAGTTCTCGGATTGACACGTGTGGTAGGGCTCTGGGGTCCCATTTCTGAATGATCTAACTGTTCTTGTTCCTTGCTGCTGTCACTGCTTATTGTCCCGTTTGGCTGTTGGGTACTGCTGTTTTCATTCTCCCCTTGCTGAGCTGAGCTAGCCTCCTCTGGTTTCTGAAGATCCCTGGAGCGATTGAGCTCCCGGTTCCGTTGGATGTGACCGCTGATCTCGCTCTGAAGGCTTTTCTGAAGGTCCTCATAGCCTCGCATCTAAAGACAAAAATTGATTCCAAATATTGGTAAATGAACTCACAGACAACAATCATGCTTTAAACACAAGAAAGAAATGGATAGTAAATGCGAAATACTTTACGCACACTATAAAACTCATGAGTGAAAAAAAGTTGAATTAACCCCAACCTTCAAAGATAATTTAAAATCAAACAGCGGATTTTGCAGAACATCGCAAAATTCAGCAACGTGAAGTGCAGCCGCTATTTGGGACCTATTACAAATGATGCTCATTCGGGAGACGTATGTAGTTCGGGATAAACCGCTAGTTAAAACACCCTTTGTGTGGTTAGTTTATCTGGCACACCATCGAGCACTGTGTATCTCACATCAAAATGTTGAGATATAGATGTGTGGGTTTGGTAAATCATCACGCAAAATGGCAATGTCATGGGCAACTTTTCCAGAGCCGCAGCCAATTTCATGAAACAGTGTGTAACTTGCCCATGCGTAGGATTTACAAACAAATTTGTTGCGCAGGTGTGCAATAAACTTACAGTCAATTTCATGAAACTTGGCGTAGCTGTGCAGCATTTTTTAATTTAAACATCTTGGACAAAAAACAGCATTTACACTGGATGTTTATATACACAACTTCTGTTCAGTCACAAAACAGTTGCTGAATCACCTCTGTTCGCCATTTCAAAAATAGTTTTGTCTAACTTTCTTCGGCATTGTGTGATAACCCCAAAAATTCTGTCACCCATAAAATAGCAATTCATTTAATTCAAACACAAAGCTGTGAGTTACATTTATCAATTACCTTGACAAATTGAAACGTGTCATATAGCTGAAATGTTGTGAGATGTCAAATGCTGCGAAACTTATGCAATACATATTGGTGCAAGTGGAGTTCAGAGTTGTAATGACTCAAGTCCATGACTCAACTGGAGTCTGACTCGATGTCACAATTTTTGGTGATTGGACACAACTTGAGTCCCTAAGGGCAAATGACTCGACTCGACTTGAGTCCCTCATCAGAATGACTCGACTCGAGGATGGCTTATAAGCCTCGAGTCACAAAAATACAAACAAACTTTGCAAATATTTGCAAAATATTTGCAAAGGCTTACGCCGGTGACAGTTTTTGTTCACGTCACGTTAGCATGTTCCCGAATAATGTATACATATACATACGTGGTTTAATCAGTGTCCCCATTAGTTGAATGGCAATCAGCTGGCACCCCCTTTTTATTTTCATTAAGAGTCACATGTGGTGTCACCACATGTAGTAGCCCAAATGTAAAATTAAAACAGCCAAAAAATGACTTTCTCTCTTGCGTTTATTTAGTGTATAGTGTTCAAATATTTGTGACTCAAATTGACTCGAGCTAAATACTTGACTTGACTCGACTCGACTCGACTACACTCTGTGACTTGACTCGACTCGACTCGGCCTTCTTCACCTAGTGACTCGACTCGTCACTTTTTTAAAATGACTCGACTCGACTCGAGTCACAAAAATCAGTGACTCGTTACAACTTTGGTGGAGTTATGCCATGACGTTTCAGGTTTTTTTTAATCAGCTGCAAAACATGTATCCTGTATAGGCACCATAAGTAATGGTCCCTTTTGTAATACTTTACATGGTTTGAGTACAAGTAATACACCACTGGGTTTCTCAAAACTTATAGCACATTCCTGTAGCTTTCATTGGCAGAGTGAACCTTTTGATGAAAAATAAAAATTACGCTTTTTCAACTTTTTCTTCTTCGTTGGTTTATTATATGAGTTGTCTTTATTGTTATTTGTGGCGAGAAATAAAATGCAACTACCAAAATGACACCTACCTGTTCCCGTTTGACGTCTTTATCAAGGTCGAGTCGCAGTAATTGTTTGTTGACCTTCATGGCGTATGACAGCGCCATCAAGCCGCCGGTCCGGAGTTCATTCTCACGCAGATCCAACCGGACTAACTGCCAGTTGTCAGCTACGTACTCCGCAAGGGCTACCGTGCCTGGCAGGTGAAAAATATCAAACAAATCTTACTTGTTGTATGCAACAATTTTTCTAAATTCAGTTTGAAGAGAAATCTCTGTTTTAAGCACCATGATGGAAAATTGATGGGAAAATGATGGAAAATTTAGATATGCAGAAGGACTGAGATACCAAGATGTCTTTCATTAGAGGCATTCTGTTTTTATTGATATTGATAAGAAATACTGAAAGTGAAGTAACAGCGAGAATAAAAACAAAATATTAACTGATCAAGCTTCCAAGATAAAATATCCAGTGAGTATGGAATACAAAGTTAAAGCCCAAGCAAAGACAAGTGGATGTGACATGTCTGCTCTCCGGGAAATTTTGCGATGTTATATACCCTATGGTGTTCAATCTTTTAACATTCCTTTATCTTGGAAACTAAATACAGCAAGTCAATTGATCTTCCTGAAGAATGCCATGATTAGCTTTGGGGGGGGGGGCTCAGTGATAATGTGCATTTATAAAGCACACGTATCCACCAGCATTGGTGCTCCAGGTGCTACATCATTATTACCCTGCTCATAAGGTAACTGGAACATTCCAAATACAATCTCAGTTCCATGGGAAAAGCTGGATGCTGCCATTTCGGGGCAAAGCAGCTAAAATCAACCACAATAACCATCTCTGCCCCACAGGTACCCATTTACACCTGGGTGGGGAGAAGCAATGGGTGAAAACCCACAACCTGCAGAATCACCCGCAGACCTAAAAACTGAATGTTCCAGATCACGAGGCCACGGCCCTCCACACATAGTATAATATAATTCTAGGGTCATGGGAAATAAAAACATTCAACCGATAATATTACCACAATAAAGAACGAAACAGAAGACTTCGACAGACAGATGCTACACGTAGATTGGATCCACAGAGATGCAGATGTTATTATTCTGAAATTAATATTTTGACACCTGCTTGCTTTCTGCCCATCAGAAAGCCTGGTCAAACTAGCTGCATTACTATGAGGTCTACTGCTTGTTAAAAAAAACAAATTGCTATTTCCCAGCTTGCAGCATTGCTATAATGTTGCTTGATGCGTAGTGACTTTGGGCATAATCTCTGGCTACATGGCATATATGGGTTCATTGAACAAAGATATTGACAAAATGGGGAATCCGCCAACTCAGTGCTGTATAGTGTAGTTGGTAAAGCACCGTGACAGCACAGTTCAAACCCTGCTCCATTCAAAGTTTTTGTTTGTTTGTTTCTGATTATTCGTCAATTGGCCGGGATAGCCCACAAAAGCCTGTCAAATTATTTCCAGTGGGGTCGATCTTTTGGTAGAAGATGTGGAAGGACATTACAGTTTTAGTGGTGGGAGGAAAACCCATTTGATATTCTAGGGAAACCAACGGAATCAGAAAGGGACTGAAAACCCAATCCACATATTGGCCCAGGCAGGATTCAAAACCAGGGCACAGCGGTGGAAGGCGAGGAAAGTACAGCTACGCCAACCTGATCCCCCCCTCCCCCCCCCCCCACTTTCCCGTTTATTTGCAAAAAAAATAAGTTTCTACTATAATTCCCAATGCACAAGTCAGAATTCTTTCCATTTCGTTCTTTTGTTTGCCAGCCATTAGCCTGTCAGGAAATTTTGGAAAGACAAACCCATTAGCTGACAATCAACACAATCGCTAATGCATTATCTAATTTATGAACCTTCTATGCACTCCCCATTAACCCTAAAAGGGCCGGGTTATTTTGACCCTCTCTCAGCCGGAGAGGGGGGGGGGTGGATTCCGCCCCTCCCCCCTAAGATCTTGGCCATCGAGTGACGAAAAATTTTGAAACTCGGTACATGCATAGAGCAACTCATCATGAACATACCCAAGAAATGTCATGACTATATGTCAAAGGGTTTTTGAATTATGGCTAATTAATTATTCATATGTACAAATGGTAATTCTGCTCTGTGTACACGACCTACATGGGAAAATTCAGTTTTCAGGGCTCGCAGTGCTGGATATTCATAACAGCTGGGGTCGCGAAAAAAAAAATTTCAAGGCTATCGCGGAAAAAGTCAAGGGGGGGCGCCCCCTCCCCCGGCCCTTTTAGGGTTAATGGACTTGTAACTGCACATAATGTTTATTTTAAAATGAAGAATTTGGTAAGTACATGTATGTACAGACAAATCATGAAGTATGAGTGATTTCCATTTGTGAATTCATATATGAAGATTAATAGTAATAATTGTATTTCATGTTATTGTGAGGAGGATGTTAAAAAACAATGAGGTTTCAGCTATTAAGTGGGCACTTCTTTGTCTAGATATAAAAAGGGGAAAAACATGACAAGCCATGCCTAATATCTCCGTTTTGTACATCAATGACGGAAATGCAAAATTTAGCATTAGACTTTATGTACTTAAGCAAAAATGAATATGCATAAATGTAAATGTTTAATAACACTTTCTTCCCTTGCACTTGGGTTTAGAGAAGAGAACAATCATGGCCTCCATGCACAAGTACCCCCTCGATGGTAAGAAAGGAAGAGTTGGGGGAGACCACTGGGAGAGACATTCGAATGCATTATAGGTCTCTCTCAAATGACGTCACCTCCTACAGATTGTCACGCGAATCCGCATTTTGGGTGTCAAATTTTCGTGACGCGCATCGGCTGCGCCGTGTTTTGAAGACATTTTGAGTAACGTGAGTGTGTGTTTATAGGCCATCAGCCTCGGTCAAAAATTTTGGCCACCGCTATCAAATGAGCGGAATAATCGTCATAACGATTTTTGGCAAGGTATACACCTCCATAGTTGGAAAATATGTGATAGCATTGCAGCGGTGGCAGCTTTTTGAGTGTTATCACCCTCTTTTTTTTCAAAATGTCCATTAAAATGCTTGTTACCACTCTAGGGGCGGTATACCTTGCGCATGCGCACTATAATCATTTATGCCCTGATTTGATACTGACCAAACCCCCAGGCTGATGGCCTATTAGAACATTTTGCACACTGCGAGCGCACGCACCTGATGGTGTTGAACAAGTAGTTGTAACTTTCCTACGAAGATGGCTGTCTATGAGAAGGGTCTAGTATTAGCGACAATGTCGGACACTTAAAACATGAAAATGCTTTGAGCACATTCAGAATAAAATAAGTCCTGTGTCCTTCCCGCTTTACACCCACGAACCAGTAAATGCTCACAGTGTTTGCCGTCCACTGGACTCTCAGAAGTGGGTAAAAAGCACCCTCCCTTTGTTCATGAACGGAGCCCGTACAAGCCTGTACAAATACTCACCTTGGTCACCAAACCTACACGCATACAGGCCGAGTCGCAGCAGTGATCGATTCTTCATCAGAGCATCCTTCAGTATGTGGACTCCATCATTACCAAGGTTATTCTGGCCCAGGTTTAACGTCTCAAGACTCGTCAACACGGGCTGGGAATATCAGATCAAATAGAAAAAAATCATTCTCATGGAGAAATAAGTCGCAAATTGTACAGGTATTACAAGAGCTATTGAAAATTCAAAAAATGGATGTTGCAAGTACCCCTTATAGACCAATCCGAACACGCTGTCACCTCTATCACAGAGGCCCCCTTCTATGGCGCAGCATTGTGCTAGCTATTGTTCAGGATAACTGTCATGAAATAGTTGCTTTGTGAGTATACAGTGATCATGGACTTGTCTATAGGCTCAATGAACAAAAGTCTTGGTGGGTGGAATTACACAAATTGACTACGGAGGGGCCAATTTCAGTTGGTATTCCGGAATTAATGTGGGTTTTTTTTGGGGGGGGGGGGGGGGAGGAGCAGTCGGAGGGGAGGGGGGAGTTTGGTTGAAAGGTTGAGTCATGTACTCCTGTTCCATGCCAATCAATGTAGAACTTTCACATGTTTTATCATGTTATATTCACTATTAATAATTATTAAAATCTTATATATAGTGCCAAATCCGTCAAAATGACACTCAAGGCACTTTACAATTACAAAAAAATTGACTAAAAACCTTAAAAACCTACTCCCAAAAAAACTACCGAAATTGTTCATGTTGAATGTTTATCCCTTTCACAAAATATTGGAAAGGAAATGCAGATGTTGCACATCATTGTGGGTTACTCACTTGCTATGATCAATGTACCGGTACATGTATGTAAATTCTATATGCACATGTCATATGCAAAAGTGCACGTGTCATATGCACATGTGCATGCATCATATGCACATGTGCATGCATCATATGCACATGTGCATGCATCATATGCACATGTGCATGCATCATATGCACATGTGCATGCATCATATGCACATGTGCACGTGTCATGTGCATGCAGAAATATTGACACCGGTTCACAGGGTGAAGAAACTTTGTCCAATGAAAGCTAAAAAAATTAGAGGTCACAAGCACCCTTTGTAAAATAAACAGCGCCCTCGTTTGTCAAATCCCAGAGTGCATAGATTGCAGTCTGCTTCCACTTTTTAATAAACTGCATAAAGGATAACACATGTTTATCGTTGATAAAGAAACATATGAACTGTACCAATGCTTTTGCCAGATGGGTCATTCCATTCTGGGTGAGTTGATTGTTCCACAATACCAATGTGGTCAGCTGCCCCTCCATCTGATCCAATAACCCATCACATAAATGGGACAGTCCAGCATCCTGCATCAAGAACAAAAAACAAAACAAAAAAAGCATATTAGCAACAATCTATACAATCATAAAAAAATATTTTATCATGTGTATATGTCCTGGGCAATCTTGGAAACTGTCCACTTCCCTCGGCGATTCTCCCTCCAGAGAGAGGCGGTATCGCCATGGTGATAATGTCTCGAGAGGGAATTGTGGCATCTCCACGGACATCTTGAATTTCAATCTGCCTTCCATCCACTAAATGCCTTGGGACACGATGACATCTTGAAATCTTACGCAGGGTGACTGGCAACATTACAAGCTGTGTTAGGGGCGATGGAATGTCTATGAAGTCATTCTTAGTGGGTGAAATTTATGGGTTTAATTTGTAACTTATAATGATACATGTGTGGTTATACAATGAACATCAAATTTTAATTCTTTAAGGGGTCCGTGAGATGAATTTTTCTTAGGAACACATTTTGTACAACTTTCTATTCCTCTTAAATGTATGAAAATTAACTGACATCCCTTTTCGGTTAATTTTATTGAAAAGTGCACTTCTTTAAATATTTGAAATTGTCCTCAATTCAAAATGTACAGAGGTCCGAAAGTTTGTGTTGTTATCTCTCAATTTGTCCAATGTCCAGGATTTCTCACATTTTTCTTCTTCAGAGAAGCCTCTAACATCATCACAAGTAGTACTTTCCAGCATAATTTGTTTTTTGATGCACAAAATAAAAACTTCAAAAAAAAGTTTTTCTCCTGTGCGCACAATGTCCAGGGAAATCATCAGGCCTCCTTTCTGCACGAGTGAACGAAAAAAACTTGTGTGATTCGGGGTGCCATCCATCAAATTTAGGGCCGAATCATTTGCTGAATCACGGCTAGCTGTGCCGACGGCACAAGCGATGTCACGCGGTACGTCACTCACAAAGTGACATGTAAAAGCTCCTGCCAGAGCTTAAAATCACAAGTTTACATGTACTTGGGTGGGACTCGAACTAGCAAGCCCTTGGACAACACTGAAACATTTCCGTGAAGGGCAAACCAATTTAAGGAATTTACATCTCCCCAACACAAAGCCCATCCTATACAAAAAGACAAGTGAGGTCAGGGTATGAACAATGACAAAGTTGGTCTTGGTCACAAATCATTTGGTAATGGGTAAAATGGCTACTTATATAACGCTCTGAGTAGCTTTTGCATTAACTTGGGATTGAATAACCTGGATGGACTTGTGATGACTTGCGAGGTCTTGACTAAAACCCTGAAAGATCGCCCTCTGAAATTTGAAGAAAAAAGCAAAAACTAATTTCTCACTAAAAACGTTGATTTGCAAGGCTTACCTGGACGTGGTTATTTCTGAGGTCTAGTAGCTTGAGGCCCCGGTTGTGTTTCAGCATGCTTCCCAGGTGGATGGCGTCAGAGGGCACCAGTCTATTCTCGGCCAGATACAGGTCTCGGACCGAGTTGTTTTGTTTGAGTGCCATTACTGCGACAGAAGCAACAGACAGATAAACTGAGTCCTCTAGCACGCTTCTCACCACATAAAGTTTTGCAAAACTGAACCTCCACAAATTTCATCAGGACCATAGTGGCAAAAAGAGGCCAGAAATGAAATATTTGCTGTGGCCAAAATTTGACACCCAGAAATAAACCTTGTTTTTTTTAGGCAGCACATGAACATTTTAAGTTTTAAAAGCTAATGCTACAGTTCTGGGCCTATTTAACAGGCATGTAGCTATAAGTTGTTCTTTCAGTCAAAATCAAAATGTTGATTGAATTTGACTAGTCAGGAGTGCTTGCTTGAAATATGATCTGACTGTTGGTGACTAGCCTGTGTAAAAGGCATGGCAGGGGAAGAGGATGGAAATTTGACTGTCTGTGACTGTTCAAACAGTAGGAGGGTTAAGCAGTAAATAATTCTTAGCAAATTTAGCAAATATTTGCGTTGAGAAAAAAAATTGGCCGAGATCAAATCACAAGCAAAACAAACAGTATGCAGCATAACGATGCATGTACCTTTAATAATGTATTGTGGAACCCTCCCCCACCCCTCAGATTCCCCAACCCTTCATCCTCCCTCCTCCTATTCCCTCGAGAAAAAAAATAAAAATATTGTTCTAGTTAATTAAGCAAGAAATGCTTGTGGTCTGTGCCTGAAAGGTCAAAAAGGTCAACATAGCACTAGGATCCCCTTGGTGGCACATAACACAAAATCTTAGCTGCAACTGACAGGGAAGAGGGATGCATGTTTAACACAAATTGAGAGAAGCTAAGACACACGCAAGAGGCCACATGCAACATGAAGGATGTGTAGTGATCATGTTGCATGCGGAGATATTCAACAGGAAATGAGATCTTCTCGCTCCATGGACGTCATAGCTATTGAACATATACATGCATGCTGTTTCTGGTCAGGGGTGGCACATAGGCATATTGATTCTAGAATGTCAATGACTAAACTGCTAGATGCTCATGCTGCATCCTTAATGTTCACTTGGAGTACATACATGTATGTACATGTATATGCCATGTATTGGTTGGTCACAAAAGATAAGGGCAACTCTAGTTACTTTCTCTAAATATTTGAAAGATTTCAATTTAGTTTCATCCTGGATTTCTATTAAAAAACAAACAACAAAGAAATGCAGAAAGGCATGACCACACGAACGAATAGAGCACTGAAAGAGTTTTTTGTGACAATACATTTGTAACTGCTGATTGTGTTTTACCCAAGAACAAACAGGTCTGTTTTAGTACCAAACTTCTCACACCTCTATTTTCAAAAAGTCAAAGAAACATTTTTTTTTTGATAGTGACTTTCTTTGAAAATAATCTGCCAGTTGCCAACATTTTATGGGCAGATCCTTTTGTATCTTCAGAGGTGCTTTAATTTTTTTTCACAGCTTTACATCTCGAATGAATCCTTTACAAATTATATGGTGACGTTGAAGAACTCATTTTCAAACAAGGAAAAGTGTTTAAAAAAATATAATTTGTAATTTGAAGTGGTTACGCAGAAAAATTGCTCTTATGAAAGCACATGCCTTAATTGACCGCAAATGATGTGGTCCGAAGAACACTGTGTGTGACACACAGTGTTCGTATATTCCTGCATGGCATTACGCCTGAGGACAGACAACAAAAGGAGCACAAAGGGGCCATTGATCCTCGAAGGAAGGTGCCTATTGTCCTCGAACGCAGGTTTGTGTGCTTAGTCTATGGGAGAGTGTTATATTACAGGGACAAAGGAAAACACAAAGCCAATCCTCGGAAGCATAGCAAAAAACGACTGTGTGAGTACATGTGTGTAGATTGTGCGAGCGGGCATACAATGTGCTGCACGTATCCTAATTCTCTGTACGGTATGATTATGTAGGCTTACTCGTACGGGTAGGTACATGTACCTGTACGTATGATGCACCGGGTGGGATCGCGGTTTATTTTCAACATGTCTCGCTGTATTCTACAGCCTGTGTACGATGTTCGAAGTCGCCGCGCTTAGCCTAGGCAACGCAAAAAAAACCGAACCATTAACATGAGGCAATATATATTTTGTTAAAGCAAGCAAAATTTATAATGTTGCGGTAGCATAGCGGTGCGATTTATGCGCAGCGCTCATTTCTGCAAATGCAGCAGTTGCTAGGGCTATCAAATGCCTACCGTAGCTAGAACACTGGACATAAGCACATTGGGCTACCAGTCAGCCTGTGCTTAAAAATTAAGTCCAATCACAGGTCATATCATTTGTTCCACGTGATACAGCTTGCACTGTGACAAACTGACTACCACATATTATAGCAGAATAAAGAAGTTCTGATGATTATTAAATAGATGTGGTGCCCTAAGCAATCGTGGGGTCCTTCACTTGTGGGGTTTCTCCACACCTCTTAGCTTCATCTCAGGCCACATAATCATTTAGAAATATAAATGAAAGTCCTCTAAACATTGCTCCATATTGTATGATTTCAGGTTACTGAAGTAGAGCAGTGACTCAGGGCCTGTCTAAATTCGTATCCAGGCCGAGTTCCAGACCAGTTGCGAATAAGTTGCAGGATTCTACAACTTCCCCGCAATCTTCCCACAATGAGGTTATCAGTATTGGTGAGTCAAGCAGTTGCTAATGAAAATTTGCCTGGAACATGTCCAGGACAAATGCAGAGCTTCTTCCGGACAAAGTGAATGATTCTACCTGCAATTTGTGCGGAACTCATCCCGGATGTGAATTGAGAGGGGCCCTTTTATTTTGCCAGAGTCCACAAAGTCAAAGGCCTCAAAATTTCCCAACAACCTAAACAATTTCCTGGAAAACTTGAGGTGAGGCCATGGTTTGGAAAATCCCCTTTTAGCATAATAATTGTTTTGAAACAAATGAAATGTTCATACATGTACATTCTGGAGTAGTGTTTATGAGCAGAAAAAGGCAAAAAAAAAGACTAAACAAACACAAAAATTGTAAACCAAACACAAGAAGAAGGGAGTACATAAAAATTAAACAACAACTTGAAATTCCAATGTATCTATGCACAGTAATAAGGAGTGATAAACATGTGAACTAGCATATAACAGAACCACCAACAAACAACCCAACAACCCCAAACAAAGGAGAGGGGAAACCAACCAACAAACAGTCTTACAGAGCAAGAAGAGCGGTCGGCCGGATATATTGCATCCTTCCATGTGAAGCGCTGACAGAGTGATATCGGCACGCAGGGCTCTTGCTAGCATGGGCATGCTGTACTCTGTCCAGTTGGTGTTACGGATGTCCAGGCATTCTAACGACGACACCTAAATGGATGCACACACAAAAACAAAGAAGATTTAGAAGATGGATTACCACTACATAATATCCTGGGCCCAATTTCACTGCACCACAAAGAATTTCATTGTGTAAGATATGGGGAAAACCATGGCCTCATGGTCTGGAGCATTGAATTTGTGGTCTGCGGGCAATTCTTAAAGTTTATAAAGGGCCCATACAATATACATTTTTTAATACAATCCTTGAAAATGCACCTTTGTATCCCATTTAACCTTATTTTAATTTTCGTCTTGCCATTTTCAAGTGTACCGGTATATAGGTGCCTTTTGGTTTTATGCTAATGCAAATTTCCGTATTCATGAGCCAAAGTGTGATGTCATTTCAGGCAGAAACCTCAATGTTACAGCTATTTCAGCACAAACAGTTGCCAGAGTTTTGGATATTTTGCTGTCCTAAATTGTTGTTTCTTCGGGGATTCGTTGTTGTGTCAGTACGGCAGTATGCCAGTGAGCAAACTGTTCCCACAGATGTTTTCAATGAGCACATTTTTGGGTTCACAATTTGAACAGAAAACCCCTAAACTGAACAGTGTCTTCCTGAAATGACATCACAGCAACAGCGCCCTCAGCTGTCCGGAAAAGGAAGGACATCAGTTTTAAAATTTTTACAGAAGTGCACTTTCAGTAAAATTAACAAAAATGGATGGTTTTCGTACATTTAAGAGTACAAAGTTGTACAAAATATGTTCCTCAGACAAATTCATTTTATGGACCATTTTAGGTTGTGGGTTTGAGTCCAGCCTAGGGTCATGGTGCCTGTGCCCTTGGGCAAGGCACTTTGTCACTCATTGCTTCTCTCCACCCAGGTGTAAATGGGTACCTGTGAGGGCAAAGATGGTTATTATGGTTGCTTTTAGCTGCTTAGCACCAAAATGGCAGCATCGAGCTGTATAATGGTGTAGCACCTTAAGTGCCAATAATGGTGGATACGTGCGCTTTATAAATACACATTATTATTATTATTTTTGCACACATGAGGATATCTATTTTCATTCTGTCTTTGTGGTTAGTGTGTTTGTTGCTGTTTCTGTTCCTGGTCTTAGCAAAAATAAACATAGCCTCAGTCAGTAACAGAAATTATGTGCTTAGCAAAGTCATTAAATGAGGCTCTGAGTCACGAAGATAATGGGCAGTATGTGGAAAAATCTGACATCAAACAAGAACAATGCCGTTGAATGCACATCCACCATCAATATGGAGCAAGTTCAAGCATGGGCTTTGGTTAACCACAGTTCAACAAACTCTGCATGAACCCATGATAGTCAACTACAGTTTTGACTCATCTGGTCAACTACATTTACATGTAGGCTACTGTACCAAGGTTGGTTTCATCACTCTACCAAAAGCAACGTGCAGCAGCGTAGAAGGCAAATGGTAGGGTTGGGTGGGGGCAATCTGTAATTTCCTTCATGACCCCTCCCCCCCCCCCAAAAAAAAATAAGAAGAAATTCTATAAAAGCAATGAAGAGACCCAATGCAAGCAATATTATTACTATAATATATATTTTAGCAAACATCTAAGGTAAAACAAAAGCTGCCAGGAGTAACCTCAAACAGTTCTATGATACTTTGTGTGTGCACTATATATAAAACACACATACTTGTTCCAAAGTTGAGGGGACTATACAGGAGTTGTTCCATGGGGACCGGAGTCGCTCTGGGGACAGCAGAAAATCCCCATAGCTCGGTCCTAATTTGCCTAACAATAAAAAACTTCCTTGCCTTAACTGTACCAGTTCTTATGGGGACCGGAGTCGCTCTGGGGACAGCAGAAAATCCCCATAGCTCGGTCCTAATTTGCCTAACAATAAAAAACGTCCCTGCCTTAACTGTACTTATGGGGACCGGAGTCGCTCTGGGGACAGCAGAAAATCCCCATAGCTCGGTCCTAATTTGCCTAACAATAAAAAACGTCCCTGCCTTAACTGTACTTATGGGGACCGGAGTCGCTCTGGGGACAGCAGAAAGTCACCATAACTCGGTCCTAATTTGCCTAACAATAAAAAACTTTCCCATAATGCAGTGACGGCACACCCACACGTTCTTGTTCCATAACTGTGGGGACTACACACCACGTACTATGGGGACCAAAGACACTATGGGGACAGCAGAAAGTCCTCATCACTCGGTCCTAATTTGCTGAACTACATGTATAAAAAACTTCCCCATAACGCAGTGATGGCGCGCCCAGTGCCAACATGCATCATATCATGTCCAGCCCCCCCTTCAGAAACACACATTTTGTTCCGAAAGAAGGGCAACAATGTTTAACACATTAAATAATTCCCAATGGTCTTCCAGTCGACACTTATCATGATTAATATTATCATGACACATCCTTTATTAGACCCATGGTTCACAAGTCAAGTGAATCGATGCGTGTTATGTATATATGTACATGTATGTAGTTTCAGGACTGCTATTGACCTACATGTGTACATTTGCAAATGTCTACAACAGTTGAGTGACATTTTCTTTTCAGTTTTCTAATTAAAGTTACACACCCCGTGCTCTTTAAAAAATGTATTTTTTTTCTCCGTATGAATTTTCAATTTGTACAACGAAATAACTGTACTTTATTCCGCTTTTCAGCATCTGCAACCTTCTGAAAAAAGATTTTAATTTTGCACACCAATGAACCCGCCCTTCTTGAGTCAAATTGTTGTCTGGCAGCCAATAATTCAATTTATTGTGAAGAAATAATTCAATAACTAAACGTTAGTGTTTTTCTGTTTTGTTCAATGTCTCATTCAAAAGTGAATAACTTTTATATTTCTAGGAATATAGCAATTGAAAAAACGAATCTATTTTTCGAGGTGAAACTCAAAAATGGCGCGGGGACTGCATCTTTAAGATGCGCTATGGCGGCTCCCCAATGAAGAAAATAACGCCAAAATCATCTAGTATTAAGAAATTATGGGGAAACAGGTACAATTCTGTACAGAAATATGTTTTGCTCATTTTAATATATGCTGTTCAACCTGGCGCCTGACGTACATGTACATGCAGAAGTGTTGATGTGAAGTATTGATTTTGCCTGTTATGTGAAGGCCTACGTGTACTTATGCTCTCTGGACGAACGATAAAAAAAATCCCAGAGAACATTTGTCTGTGGAAATTTATACATGTGTCTGCAGACCATGGCCTTGTGTCACAGGTTCATTTGTCAGGGTCGTGAGTTGTTTGTGTTTAATTTATACTGATGTGCATAATGTAATGTGTAGTCTGTCCATGCAATCTGTTAACTTAGGTAAGGCCAAAAAAAAAAATATTCGGTCTCTGGTCAGACCAAAGTTCCGGAATTGACGCGGCCACGTGGCTTTTTTTTTTTTTTTTTTTTTTTTTTTTTTTTTCTCCAAGCTTGGATTGTACAGACAAGGTGGGTACTATTTTGCTTTTTTGGTGTCCTCATGTACATTGGTGTCCTCCATAATTTGCCTTGGTGCTTTCGATCATTTGCCTCGGTGCAATTTCCCATTCCTTGGTGCTCTTTGGTAAAAAAAATTGAGGAGGTGCGGAAATAGAGGGCGCTGTTTGAGCTACCGCGGAACATTTTGGAAAAAAAAAGATCGACGCGCATGATTAAAATCGACGCGCGCGCTGACCAGAGACCAACTTAATATACAACACTTGCAAACATTAAACAAAAAACCTACCAAATTATTATGAAAAACCTTACTTCACTGTAAGTGAATAATTATCATCATGACACCTGGTGTGTTCAAGAAAAGTGGAATATTTGTATCAACGATGGTCAAAACTGATTTTTTTTCCCCCTCCAAATACTGCCCCAATTTGCAAAATTTAGTTAGTCCACAGTTTGTTTGCATCCTGTTACACATCCGTGAGTGGGTGCAAGCATGGAGCTGTGTTTTATAGCTCCATGGTGCAAGTCTGGTTCCCTGACCTGGCAATTCCCCAACGTCTATAAATTGCTTCCATTCATCTGAAGTAGGTTCAGGGAACCAGACTATAACTGCATATTTCTTGTTTTTTTCCAGCATCTACATGTGCGAACACAAAACTTTAAACACGTCAGTGTAACAATATTTGGAATAAAAATACTAACCCCCAAATCCCTCCATTTCTGAAAATTACAGCAAGAGCAAATGTTGAATATTACCTACCAAAAAAGCTCCATGAGAGACCGTCTTTTTAAAAAATATTGTTATGCTGTTTTCAAATATCTACTTTTCAAATTTCAAGCCTGATAATAAAACTCAAAAGAAAATTTGAAATCCGAATGTTGATCACAACATTATGCTACATTTATAACAGTGTTATAAATGAATGATGCAGTTCTACACTGAACATGTTCGGAGTGGAAAATGCGATAATCAAGCACATACGTTTTTAAATTGGTTACAGATATTGCGGGATTTGATTTTATTAATTTGAATATGCAAGCATTGTTCCTTTGGCAAGTTCAAATGACTACTGAATGACTCTTTCAAAATCACATTGCGTTTGGGATCCAAATTTGTCTATTTTCAAAAACTAATTTCTTCTAATTCTCAAAATGTTTTGCCAAAACCCAAATTAGCAATTACATGTAAGCGCATACATGTCATTGAAAAGCTCGTACTTTCTAAAATAAGAATACACCGTAACTTTAAGCTTAATTTCTTTTTGTGATTCGCCTGTCAAAACACATCCCTCATATCCCTTAAATCCCTATGAACGGACTTCAAACTGGTAACCCCGATCCCTGGTAGACATCACACAGTATTTGCTCTTGATCCAGCCGTAATTTACAGACATTGAGCCGGTAACCAAGATTCAGAGCAAATTTGTGTAGAGAGGAGTGTAGGGAACTTGACTCGGGAACCGGGCCAGACTCCGCATTAATGCAGCGTGCATGTGGCTCGTCTCTGGTGACGCGGCCGGTCGACGTGAAACCCCACCGCAAACATACTTTGTAACATGAGCGAAGTGGGGAATTTTATTAGATTGAGTCATATGTGTGACTTAAACAGGCATAGTGCGCTGGCTGAAAAATCAGTCAAACAGTACCGTACAGATTGTCAGGGAAAACAAATTTTCTACCAGGAGATTTTCTTAAAAGACACATTTCATTTGTAGGAGCATGAAAGTTTGTCAATCTGCCTCACAAGATTTCTTACAAGTGGATCTGGTAAGTATTCAGGTATGTCTATCACATAAATAATTTTAATACATATAATAATAGTTATACTGTTGTGCTTACATGAATACCACTGGATACCAACTTAGGTTTGAACCTATGTACATGTACATGTACATGTACATGTGCATTAGCCCAATACGCCATTTGCGAGTGACCTACAGTGTGTATACCCTTTGGGGTTTAAATTTGAAAAACATCTGGTACATGGACTTGCTCAGAATGCTTGGCACATTTTAATTGTGAATTCTCCAGACCAAAGACACTGTTGCTAATCACATGATACAGGGCAAGCTCTTGCATAGTTACTTAAGAGACGCTCGGCACCAATACATTGGTCACAATGGGTGAGAATGGCACAAAGACATCATACCATGCCGGAGCTGGGGGTTGCTAGCATAAGGCTTGCCCCGAATCACGTGATATAGTAACAGTCTCTTTGGTCGGGAGAATGCAAAGTAAACACGTGCAAAGCATTGGATTAAGTCAGCGTTCCAGATTTTATTCAAATTTAACTTGCAAATGGCTTATCATGAGCAATCAGGGGATCAGGTTGGCGTAGTGTTACTTTCCTCAACTTCCATTGCTGTGACCCGGATTCCAATCCCACCTGGGTCAACATGTGGATTGGGTTTTCAGTCCTTGCCTAATTCCATGGGTTTTCCCTAGAATATCATTCTGGGGTTTTCCTCCCACCACTAAACTGTATTTCTTTCCACATCTTCTTCCCAGTCTTATAATTCATCCTGTTCTGGCACTTGTGCTGTTGGATGTTGTCAAAATAAATAAATTTAAAAAAATAGTAAAATGTGGACAAATCTACCCTGGAATTTGTTTTTGGAGGAGGATGTCTTTTTTATTTCTCTCAATTCTCACCCCCCAGCGATGGACTTGCACCAATTCCACCATTCATCTACATGTAAATCAAATACTATGTACAAATATCGTAACCCTTATTCTTTTCCCCGTCTTGAATAATAAACAGATGAGCTCCACTGACAGCTTCCGTTTCAAGTGACGCAGACTAGCCACCTCCCTGATAGCCTATCTTACCATTTTAGCAAGTATCAGATGTGCAGAATACATCTACATCATCCTCCAAAAAAAATCCAAAAAAAAAAATCACAGTCTACTGGCCAGCAAAGCCGAGTCACAAATCCTCTCGCTGATAGTCAAGGATTTCTGCCTCTGAGCCAAAATCCTTCCTTGTCAAGAGGCAAGAAAGCTTCCATCCCTCGCACGACACGGACTCTCAACCCTCACGCTGAGGACCTGAATTAGATACTCCAGCTTTGGCGAGATTTGCCCGAGTGGCACATGTCTGATGCTACTTCAAGACTCCAGACATGTTGAACCCTTTAGCTGATGGAGTGTTTATCTAAATGACTGGCGTGGGCAGCCATTTTAGTTTGCATCTACTGGACAGCGCAAATAAGACGCTGAAAACATGTCACTCAGGAAAAATAAAAGGAAGTAGGCTTCCACAAACATGTACAGTGACATCACTAACATGTAAAGTACATGTACATGTATATTTCATTCAAGAATGAATACAATGTACATTTCAACATGTACCATGTATTTACTGATTATTTAAGAGTTTAACTTTGTTTATTGTTCTTTCATTGCTTGTTGGTATTTTTAAAGTCTTTTTGAATCTTTTTTTTTTTAATTTTTGGTCTTCCCTTTAACTTCATCATTTATAAACTACGCATTCAATGAATTCAAACTAAACTACTTTGCAGTAAACCCAAGGCATATTTGTCAAACAAACTTGTGTCATTAAGCCTCATGTAATATACATGTAATACTGACCGTGCTAAATCCATCACAATCATTTAAATCCTGCTTGTGGATTTTGGTAGTATTAGGCGGTAAAAGGTCACGTGGTTCAGCTTCCAGAACCCTCGCGCGGCCCGCTGATGGGCATTTTACACTGAGTTAATGCTGCCCTTTCTCTTGCTATAATTTTTGGCATTCATGTTGGAATTTTATCTTGATATTCTTTTTTTTTTTTTTTAATGGATGAAAAGTCACTTGGAGATACGTAAACAAGAATTTCATTAATGACCTTTCACATCCGGTATTTTCGTTTCTACGTGTAGGTCTCTTTGTTTGTTACTGTTTGTTTTCACATCACGTACTTGCACGAAAACGAGAATATGTAACACCACGAAAATTTACCAACCTACAGCTGATGGGTTCTAAATTTAGTTGGGCTGGCTTGACTGTACTCCAGAGCAGCGGTCACTTGAGATTTGTTTCGTAAATGCTAATAAGTCCTTTTAAGTTTATTTTTGAAGAAAAATGTAAACCCTAGAAGAAATGTTGGTCTTCTATTTAACTATAAAGCTTTGAATACCAGTGTTTTTAATGTTAAAATGTAATGTTATACAATGTACATGTACATGAATTAAATTTCATACCACCGGTAGTCAAGGATCTTAGGAAGTAATTTTTTTGTTCTCAGTCTGTGGACAAAATGTTGAATCAATGACATTGCATTGACATGCATGCACTTGAATGTCGTGCTATCTTGGTAGAGGGTTTCCCCTGGATTTTCTATATATTTTTTTCGCGGCGCCTGTCTAATGCACTCCGAACCAGATGGTTGTCTTCCTGATAGTACTGAAGTACTGCCCATGGGGTGGAAACATGAGACAATATAAAATTCTATTTAAATAAAAAATAAGAAGGAAAATGATGCTGCTGATAAGTGGAAGTGCTCCCAGTACTACGGTACATGGTACCGGTACATATTAATAAGTACAATGTATGTATGCATGCATTACCTTCAACAAGATAACACTGCAACCCCCCCCCCCCCCAAAAAAAACCTTTACATGTATAACAGCATTGAGAAACTCCAGGAAAGGGGCCAAGTGGGACAAGGCCCCTCCTCTCTGTGATGTAGCTCCTCTTAGAACCCCCCCCCCCCCCAAGTCTGCAAAAGCTATGGATCCAGAATACGGACTTAATACCTGAATATCTTATGAAGCTACCAGGGTACATGATATATGTTTTAAATGTCAGCCCTTCTCCCATCTGAATTCTTGATCTTCCCCAAACAATAAATATATGCAGGAGGGGCTCCCCTTCCTTCTTGATGCTGCTTGATTACATCCTCTTAACCCCCCCCCCCTCCCTCCCCAGTCGGCAAACACAGAACGCTCCAGAATGTTCCAGAATGCCAACTTTATTCAGCTGAATTTCTCAAGCCCTCCCTCTATGGCTGGTGATCATGTAGTGTAGGACCCTCATTTAGTTTCAATCAAATTAGAGTCAAGGTATTTTTTTATTACTCAAAAATTACCTTTCCAACCTAAAGTACACTTAACTCTCAATTCTAATGACACCTGTTTGGTAATTTTGAACGGTTTCTTGGGGTAGAAATTACGATTTTCCTATGCGGTTTTCGGTTGGTGCCCTGCAATTCAGTGCGCCATGCACGTTCACAGTACATCGTGCGGTGATCGCCATCTTTATTTTCGTGTTGTGTTTTGTCATTGTCATCGTCATTTTACCCCCAAATTTCCCTCAAAAATTCAAAACCCTGCCCTCTATCTATAACATACATTTGTACCTGCATGTTTTTTGACTGTCTGTGACTGTTCAAACAAAAGTTTCAAAACTGTCAAATTGTTTAATATACAATGTACAAATTTATTTAAAAGTCAGCCCCCTTCCCTCCTGACATCCGAACTTGTCCCTGAACACAGCTGAGAGAAGAAATTGTTATCTTTTACCCTTTTAAGGAGACGCGAGGCGGCCTGCCAGCCTCTGGCACCGATGGAACGATTGGAGGCGAGAACCAGCCTGATTGCAGATTCGTAGAATTCACACATGTCAAACAGTGCTGCTGCTGCCTGCAAAATAAGACACAGAGGAACACAAACATCAGTTGAAATGTGCATATCATGGTAATTTTTGACTTTTGTTTAAAAAGCCTTTGGCTGTGTTTAGAGCAACAACATTGAATTTTCAGGCTCAAAGTGCTCACAGAAACACTGGCTACATTGCAGTCAACACTTTGTTTCAAAACAAAGTTGCAGTCAGCACAAATAGTGACAGAAGAGAGAAGTTGTAAATGTGTAATAAGAAAAAATTTATACATTCATCAACCCTAACCCTTTGGTGCAAAGATTATTTGGATTAGCCACACAAGTTTATAATAATTCTTTGGCATGTGTTATCGACCGCCCAGTGCAGCAAAGGAATAATAATAGTAATTATAACGGCAACTTATAACGCGCCGGTATCCGCGATATGAGATATTGCGAATGGCGAGGGGTGGTTTGTTCCAAAGATGAGGACCTGCGTAAGAAAATGATCGATCACCCCAAGATTTGTGAGTGTGAGGGACAACCAGCAAAGAAGCATCAGAAGATCTCAATCGCCTGGATGAACTGTATGGAGTTAATAGGTGTACAAAATGTATGTTGTATTCAGGAGCTGAATAATCCTTCAAGACCCTGTGAAATCCATTAACCGTACAAGCCACAAGAAAACTTTTTTCTAGTATTGCAAATTACTTTAAATGTAATTGCTTCAGTGATGTAGTGCCTTGATGCTGGGCCTTGGCCTTAAGGCTGGATTTTAGGGCCTTGGCCTTGGCCTCGAGGCTTGAGGGCAAAAGCCTTGGCCTTGGCCTTGGCCTTGAGGGTTCAGGGCCTTGCAATTTTGAGTAAAGGCTCTTCAAGGCCCATAGATTTTTGCATTTTCCAGATAAATCTGTTCGAAATGTTGCTGTTACCATTTTAATCGTGTTACCATGGAGGAGGGAAGCATCCTATAGATTTGTGTGTTGGGCACACTTCCACTTTTGTAGCATCACATTTTGTTACCATTGTAGTAGATTTGCTGCAACAATATTCCGTACACTTGTGGGGCTAATGCTAATGAGATGATCACTTTAATTGCATATAACCATGGAACAGATCTGTTTGGTTGTATATGTCTCCCTGATAAGTGCTACAGATTTGCATGTATCTGTTTTAGATAATGCTGATATTTCTGACTATGTTGGGCCAGCAAATAAAAATTTCCCAAATCAGTTTCTTGGATCCCCTTTTGTTACACTTGGGAGAGTTGTGTGTCAATATAGAAGTAAATCATTATTTTGTTTAGTTAAACCATATTGAAGACCTGAACTTATACTTTAATAGATACAGTGCAGTCATAAAACGGTGTAGGCCTATGCGAGCATGTTGATTGCAATTAAAGAAATGTTGTTCTTCGTAACGAGCAATTCGTGACGATAAGGGCGGATCCAGGGGGGCCAAAAGGGGGGCCATAATTAGTTCTATATCAGTGGTCATTTCATAAAACAGGGCCTTGGCCTTGGCCTTGAGGGTTAAGCCTTGGCCTTGGCCTCGAGGCTTGAGGGTCAAAGCCTTGGCCTTGGCCTTGAGGGTCAAGGCCTTGGCCTTGGCCTTGAGGGTCAAAGCCTTTGCTCCAACACTGAATTGCTTAACATGTAAATTAATGCCTCTTTAAAGTTTGTGACAAAGATATGCCATGCGGTTCCCATACAGTGGTGGACTTTCAAAGATTCAAGGAAGGTTTCTGGCAAAATTCTTGGCAAAAATCCAGCTAAACCCAAGAAAAGAGATTGCAAGCACCTACTGAAATGATGTTGCATGAAGACAACCGATCTAAGAATAACCAATGAAATTGTAGATTTTCCTATTGTAGGATACAATGTACATAATCGTACATTCATATCCACCATGTCAATTACAGTATGTTAAAGCGTATAGTGATTTTTTCCATTGAAGACACTTAACATTACCATGTATCGAGTGCACATAATGTCTCGCCCTGGGTAATTTTATTTTCTTGCCATGGTGTATGCACCGGATGTAACTGTTTTAATTGAATTTGCCACGTTCATACATGTACATGTACACTGTGCACAACAAGCAAAGCAGAAAGCGTTTTGCTGGCAAAGTGGTTGATGTATGTACCGGTACATGCATGAACATGCATGTGCATCATCGTATATACATTATACGCACATCATTACAAACACATTTTTGCAGGGTGTGAACGTTACTTGTTAGGAAAGAAATTAATACAAAGTACAAATGTATACAACCATCACATACATGTTTCGTGTAAACATCTACACGTACATAGATAGGGGTTCTGTTGAGGACAAAAATGAAACCTCTCACTTAAAGGGAATATATACAGCATTTGCAAACATCAAAAAACAAAACTACCAAATTGTCACGAAATCCCTTACTGGGCTGTAAGTGAATGACAAGTCTAAAACATCCTGTAAAATCATGGCACGTGGTGCGCTGACATTTTCAAGAAAAGTGGTATTTTTGTATCAATTTCCAACGCTGGGCGGCCGACCAGCGTTGGAAACAAACTGTGTTTTTTTTCAAATACTGCCCCCAATTTACCATATTTAGTGAGTCCGCATTTTGTTTGCAATCGATTACACACCTATGAACAGGTACAAGCCAGATAGACTGGTTCCCCGAGCTTACAATTCCCCAACGTCCATAAATTGCTCCGTTTCATCGTAAGTGGGGGTCAGGGAACCAGACTACCTAGTATATGATTGTTTTTCTTGGTTTTTCCAGCCTCTACAAACACAAAACTTCAAACAAGTCAGTGTAACAATATTTGCTATAAAATAATAACCCCACAAATCCATCCATTTCTGAAAATTACAGCAAAAACAAATGTTGTAACTTTCATAGAGGCTTCTGTTGAGGACAAAAATGAAACCTAAATTTCACTTAATAGCTTTGTTATACTATAAAAAATACTGTATTTCTCTATATACGGTACATACATGTACATGTATGTAACCGTACATTCATCAGTATGTTCATATCATGAACAAGTGCATGTATGAAGCCCAAAAAATGGACAACCCTAATTTCTGGAAATTGAATTTGGGAAATCACACAGGACCCTTTTTTTTTACAAAAACAAATATTTTCTGCCAACAGAAATTTGGATGCTAAGTACTTTGATGATTTTTTGTTGTAGAATTGTTTTCATTTTTTTGAACCAGTACACTGGGCTTATTCCAGTGTCCTCGCTTGGCCAAAATTGTGGCCTACATGTATTGTGTGACTGTGTAATTCTATGACTACTTGGCTTGAAGGAGTTGATTAAATCTGTCAGTTTTTTTCTCCTGTTTATAGAATCAAGGAATATGAGACGAGACTTCTTATTGGTCTGGCCCACCAGAGGAAGACAGACAAGATATTGCTCTGGAGAGAATATACAGTACATGGATGTATGCATGTGGGTAATTCCAAGGTAACTCACGTTGCGTTTGGAGGGCCGGCCCTCCAAACGCAGGGTCTGGATTTTTCTCACAGAAGATCCCTTGATCTTATGTGACTAACACTAAACTACAACAAAAAAGGGCCAACTAAATGAACTTCTGTTGGTCTGGCAATGTTTTTTTATTGGTAACTCACGTTACACAAAAAGGAAATGGGGGAAATTCCTTGCGTTTGAAAGTTTTCCTCACAAAGTGCACCGATCAAAATCTTATCAGTGCCCTTTCATCATTAGGGTATAAGACATGTTGTACCATTGCAATTATTAAGAAATAATCAATCAAGAGGGATATATTTCGGTACATGTAACTCAACTTCAGTTAAGTCACGTTACAGCTCTTTGGTACTCCTCTTTGGTACAATTTTAAACGTTTAAGAAACTAATAATCAAACAAAAAACTCTTTTGGCGTAGAATACAAACCTTTTTCTCTTCCTGAAAAACAGAAACTCACAACAACACCAAATCTATAGCTTAAGGCAAAATACCATTTTTTTTTTAGAAAAAAATACACTCGACCATATTCCATCTCACTGTCATATCATTCAAATAATTTGATTAATTTGATACCTCATTTGAGGTTATGCTGCTTGTAATTTTAAAGATTATAAGTTTTCATTTTCCAGCCATGTCCACATTCTCATGGAATTGCCCATACATACATGTAGGTAAAGGCATTGACAGTTGTCAAAATGAAGGATAAACAAGTTACAGTAGGGAGGTTTCGCAAGCGAACGGATACGCTTACACTTACGTTTAGCTATCTTACGTTTAGCTAGTTGAACATGTACATGAGAAAGGCATTGCATACATTAGTGCATACATGTACATTAGAGACTCTACTACAAAAACATTAATTCCATTTTTGTTGAATTTCTCATAAAAAAATCAACTAAAATGGACTTAAGATATATTTCAACATACCGGTATGTGACAGACAGATGAAAGTAAAATTAATTTATGCTAAGTGGGCAAAAACTGGGAAAACCTAAGGAGACTCAGTCAGCCAAAAAATTCAAAGGTAGGCCTACAGATTCGACATTAAACATATAAATTTCATTTCACAATTTCCGCATTCTGGACAAATCACCATTTGCATGTTAAATCAAACCACTGCAGACTGCACTGCTGCCTTACAACCACTTGTTACAAACACGAGCGACTTGATTCAGCTCGACCGTGAAAGCTGAATGCAGCCTCACGAATTCATCCTACTCAATGGTAGGGGGGGGGGGCTAGGGGGGCTCTGAGAACAAATGACCAAGAATGAGTGTAATGGATGACGGAACTGACACGACGTGCTAGAAATGTGTCCCTCGAGCGCGGATAAGATAATGCCAACCCCCTCCCCCCTTACCCTCATCATCAAGGAAGAAGGATGTTGGACTCAACTGCACCCTGACATTGCTTATAAGGCAATCAATCAATTATGCGGCTACTGTCAACTTAAGGGAAAGGACATGGGGCTTTTTCTTAAGGAGCTGTATGATGAGATATAAATCTATGGCAATAAGTACATGTACATGTACGTACATAACAGTACAACTAGTGGTA